TTCTGGAAGAGAAAGAGATAATAGGTGATGGTTTTGTTTTGGAAAAATTACTTTGCTTGGGACAATCAAGATTCTAGGTTGGGGGGAGTTGTTAAGTGGTAAAAAGTTGATATAATTATGCCTTGAATTGTTATGAAACCACTTAACTTATGTTAATTCTAATATATTTTTCTCCCAATATAGGATGAATTCGAGAATACCTTGATACAAGAGTAAGGAGTATAATTGTGAAGTAATTGAAGAAAAATTGAAAGAAAGAAGAACGCTTAAGCGAATGAATGATGCGAGACCCGACCCAAATTCTCTTATAAAAAGATAATATGTATTTTGAGAAAGGAGGCAATTTTGGAGAAGAAGAGGCGCGACTACTGCTGGAAGCACTCTAACCCTAATGCTGGAAAATCTCTTAATTGTGTGAGGAGTCAACATTTATTAGGTTTTCTTATGAATTTCATGTGTGAGGAATCAACATGGATGATTTGAGTAGGTGGCATCAACATTGTTAGGTTAATTGATGTTCTTAATTGACATAGCCATTATAAAAGAGGGATAAGGAAGGAAGTCAATTGTAAGTGCCTTTAATTGATATTTTCTCAACAATTTACAGTTCTTTGTCATTTAATTTCAATTCAACTCTTTATGCAAAACCCATTCTGTTTTAATATACTTAGTAAGCATATAATTGGGAATTTCCATTGAAACCGTTCCTCATGGGATCGACTTTTATTTAATCGAAATACTATATTGTGATTGATAATTTTGGTACGCTTGCCAATAATTCAACAAAATTCATGATTTAGGATCAAGAAGTAGACAAGGCAATTTCATTACTATTCAATGAAAAGTACATTGTATCCAAATTTTCACATCTTCATCAACTACAACCATATGTTTCAAACTTTCTAACAACTCCTTACAATATTCAAGAAAATTATAGACTTCAACACGAGTAGAGAGCATATTTGTTACTCTGTCAACTTCCTTAAGATTTCTTGGGATCTCCATGATTGCTTGGTTGGTCATCCATGCTAACTTTAGATAACGATCTTTCCAAAACATGTTGTCATTCTCTAGCTCTTTGATATGATCCTTGTTTGAAGATTTGGCAAGTTCATCTTTCCAGAATGAAATTTCTGCCATGAGTTCTTCGATGAAGATTTCCTTTTCTTCAATGCATTCGACCAATTCTTGTATCTTTTGCTCTTCCTCTCTCCATTCATTCTCATGAGTTATTGTTGTACGTTCTACTTGTTATCTATGTCATCTTTCAATCTCTAACCGTTTTTCATATTCAGTCACTACTCTTTTCATTTGTTGTTGGAGGTCTTCAAATAACCTCCTCATCTTCTTTTCAGCAATCTTGACATTCTTCAGTTCTTCTTTTAGTTGCTACTTATCTGCTAATGCTTCATTCCTCTCTTGTCTCCTTAAACCAAGCTCTCTGTTTGCTACACCGAAATAATCTTGAATTTTTAGCTTGTATTTTTCTTCAGCTTTGACTTTGTCATTTGCCTCTTCTAATGATCTTTTCTTTCGAGAAATTTCATCTTGCGTTATCTTCAACTTGTGGTGAGACTCTATCAGTTCTTTTTCCAATCTTTTTCTTTCTTCTTCGGACTTTGTGAATGCTACTTTTAACTCTTCAAATTCTTCCATGTCCACTTGAGTTTGCACTTGGGTTTCTTCAATGATTGTATTAGAACTATGAAAGGGAAATTTGGCTTATTGAACTCTCTCTTTAAGCCAAAGACGGTAACTCTCACTAGAACCACAACTTCTTTTTCCCAATTCTTTTCCTTTCCTGACGATCTTTCCCCAAACATGATTCACTTTTTTTAGCATTTCTGGACTCAATTGATTCATCTCACACACAAATGATGTAATCGATTCTTCTGTTGGAGGTTTCAACATAGGATAACCTAATTGTCTCAAAACCAAAGATGGATTATAATTGATGCACCATTTAGTCCCCATAAGTGGTACATTAGGAAAACTTCCACAGTGGTAAATGATTTTCATCCACTTTGTTACAACTTGGATACCAACGAATGGACTTTTCACTGAGATTTGCTAAAAATTGTGCACACTCCTTACTAGTTTTATCTTTTACACAAGTCCATTTGACATCTGCAATAGGGGATGGTGAGTTGCATTTGTTAGAAAACACATGGATGGTGAGTCACATAAAGAGTAGTGGTAAACAACAAACTAACTTCTTTCTACGCTTTTCATAACAAAAATTGAGAGCAAAATAAGTATCTACTAGGACAGCCGATACTGGATTTTCTCCTCTATTTTGAAGAGCCAAAAACACATCTATAGCATAAAAATTTATGTAATCTTCAAGATGTGGAAAGAGAACAATTCCATAGTAGTGAGGACCAAAACTCCAGCCAAATCAATCCAATCATTCTCTTCGAATAAGGTTTTCATCATTTTCACTAAATAACTTCTTGGAAACCCATATATACCATTTCTGTTTAATTTTCACTAGTACAGAATCTACTTTTTACATCGGACTTTCTACATTGATTCTTAAAGAACCGATGTAGAAAGTGACGCGGTGACAATTTTGAAATTTTTTTAAGACTTTCTACATTGGTTCAGCTGGGAACCGATGTAGAAATTACTTTCTACATCGGTTCCTAGATGAACCAATGTGAAAAGTCTTTTTATTTTAAAAAATAATTAATAAAAATTTTAGACAGACTTTCTACATTTGTCTCCTTTACAGGCTCGTCTCCCCCCTGGGAACCTCCATTTTCACTCATTCTTCCCTTGCTCCTCATTTCCAGCCATTACCAAGACTCAACCTCCCAAATCCATTCTCCTGCCCCTTCACCACACAACATCAATCGTCCACCGCAAGCCAGTCACGCCCAGTTCAACCATCGGAACCCAACTCTGCCACTTCCAGCTATCCCCTCACCAAAACCTTCTTCGCCTACTTCTCTACCCCATCGCAGTCGCAAAAATCATTGTCCCTCCAATCTCCTTCCCCAATTGAATCCCTAACCTCTGTTTCCCTTCACCCATCCTCGCATCCCTCACTCTGCGAACCAAACTGCAGTAAATCAACCTCTATCGCCCAAGTTGGAATAGCTGCACCCTTAAACATAATTAGATTAATTTAAAATAATGTGAAAGCTACACACTTAAACCCTTTCACCAAGGTTGTAAGAATTGAACTAAGCATCTTAACTTTCACAGAAATTGTCCCTTTTGTCTTATAACTTGATCCCATGTCTTGTTTTTTTCAAGTACCCTAAATCAATCTTTAATGTTATGTTTATTATTCTCCAATACATCTATTTAATGCAAAAATAAGAATGAATGAGTATAAAATGATGTATGCAAATATGATATTGAAAAAAAAATATTAAGAAATTATTATGTTCTTAATATATAACATGGTAAAGTAATGAAAAAGAAAGAGTGGTGGATATGGATAAAGATGCCCCACAGTGTCTTAAGAGGTAATAGTATGTATCTTACAAGTCTACTGATTTTCTCTAGTAAGTGAGTCTTATCAAAGGTAATCAAACATCTTAAACTATATTGGTCTCTAGAGCTTAGTACTCATCTCGATTTGTGACTACAAATTGGAATTACATCCAAGGTGTAGGAATTTACGAAAGAGTCACGCTCTAGATAAGACTTTCATCATTACCAGATTGGAAGTACATCCAAAATGACACAAATAATTATCTTTCACTCTCTAGGATACACTCAGGCCCGGGTATAGGACCTCACTCATAATTGTGAACAGATGTGAGTGTAGTGTGTGAAGGGGCTAATCCTAAACTAATATGCAAAATAAACAAGAAGTCCGCAATAGGAACATGTCTTCTATTCTAGGATTTTATTGAAGTAGAGATATTTTATAATGAATCAATGAGGATAAAATAAACACTGCATCTAAAGCTAAAGAAAGAGGGATGTAACAAATAATAAAACATTTTTAGCCTATTTTTTTCATCTAATTATGATAGGCTTGACTCGATGTGTCCCAGTGGAGTCGCCATCTGTCGTAATCAATATCATGATTGGACGACAAAATTAGGTTTCTAAATGAAAGAAAAACAATTGAGTCGTCATCAATATTTATTTTAAGGAAAAATATCGGAAAAACCCTTCAAAAAGAAAAGAAAGTGGTCTACAAAATAAGGGTTGAGTTCGAGAGCCAATTATGTGTAAGGAATATATTAGCACCTTACAACATCTGTTCTAAAAAATGATTACCTTTAATTAGACATAAAAAATTTAAATATCTTAAAATTATCTATTTTATCTCTCAAACTTATAATGATTAAATGTTACTACTAAAAATAAAAAATTATATATTTTTATATTTTTAGCTTGACGGATATCATCTTCCTTCTCCTATGTATGCCAGGTGCAATGGAGAATCGGAGTAATATAGTTCTTTCTTACAAATATTTATGAATAATTTATTTTTGTTTATCTATTTATGTTGTTAAGTTAAATGTAGGTCAAAAATTATGTAATAATCAAATTAGAAGTACATCTAAAGTAATTATCATTTTTATAATTTGAATAACAATTAAATCGGAAGTGCATCCAAAATAATTTAAATGTTTAAATTATCGTACTTGTAATTTCTATTTAGATTTAAAATGTATATCTTTTTTAAATATTTTGTTATAATCAAGTTAAAAGTACATTTGAAGTGATTATTATTATTTTATATCAACCAAATTAGATTTGCATGCAAAATAGTTAAATTTTTATAAAATATTTTCTTACTACTCTAATAACAATAATATTGCATGTTTAATAGTACTCGAGAAAAAAAATGATAATTTAATTATCAATATATTAATAATGATATACTAATTTAAATTATTTTAAAAAAATTTAAAATTATCTTTATTCAAATAAATTAATAATAATAATAATAATAATACATTTTTCGTATTTGTAACTTATTTTGTTATGTTGGTGGCCTAGTGACTATGGCTGGTGCGGTGGTGGCGACGATGTTCGTGATGATTGATGGATTTGGTGGGGTCACGACTAAGGTTCTCGATGGAGATCGCGGTTGTAGTTCGCAAATCACAATGGAAGAGATGTAGTCAGAGTTGAGGGTGGAGAAGGGAATCAGAGCTTAGGGATGCAATTGGGGAAGGAGACTGAGAATGCTTCCGAATGGAGAAGGGATTTAAGGGAATTGCAGGGTTGAGGGTGAATGGCTTGTCGGGAACGGAGATGGTGAATGGTTCGGTTGGGCGTGGTGGCCAGTGTTTTTGTCGGGGCTGTGGAAGATGAAGGAGAATAGGGTTGGGTATATGAGTGAAAATGTGGGTACTGTGTGGGGTTCGGGTCTTAAGTGTTGGGTTATGACTGGTCGTGGCTCGCAGTGGTTGGTGACTAGGGTTTGGGATGAACGGGAGAGAATAAGTGAATTGGATGGAGAAGGGAAACGAAGTGGTACTGGTCGTGCGGGCTTAAGGCTGGTGCTCTGTGGTGGTCATGGTGAGTGGACGGAGGCTGAAGGTGGTGATGCAACGGTGGTAATGGTAAATGAGTTTTTTTTTTATAATTTTTATTAATCATTATAAAATATGTGCAATATATTTAGGTATACAACAAATACTTCAGGCTACAATTGAGAATTGGGACAAGATACAAGTACTAATACAAATTGAGAATTGGGACAAGATACAAGTACTAATACAAATTGGGAACCTGTTGATTGATTGTTGGTTGCCTCTATTTTCTTTGTATTATTGTCTCTGTTGAGATTGCCTATTATTGTTTTTGCAATTGCCTATTGCTATTTTTTATATTGCCTATTATTATTATTATTTTTGAGATTGCCTATTGCTGCTTTTGAGTTGAGTCCTTAAACTGTTAAGGGTTCTCTATGGTGGATGCCCTGTTTTTTTATATTCTTATTTTCATCTCAAAACCAAAAGTTTTTTCAAGCTCCTCCCTCCTCCATTTTTGACATCTCCTTCTCAATTTATACAGGCATTCTAACATGAAGCTAGAGCTTAGGGTGGTTGCTGGAGCTTAGGGTGGCTGTTGTAAGGTGGTTGCTGGAGTTGTAGGGTGCTATTTTTTTTTTATCTTTTTCATGTTTACATGTACAAAAGACACTTAATATTTATAAAGACACTGATGATTAATTAACAAAAAAAATTATAAAAACGAACATAACATTGACATTATTTAAGAGAAAGTAGATAAAAATATTTAATATACTGGGATATATCAAAGCATTCTTTGAATGAGATATAAAGACTGAAATCATTTAGCTTGTGATTTGATTGGGGTGGGTATGTGAGAAAGTGAATTTAAGGTGATTGTGGGATTGAGGGAAAAACAATAGATTTGAGTGGCTGAGCTGTAGGGTAACTGCTATCTTTTTATCTTTTTGGTGTTTACATGTATCAAAAGACACTTAATATTTATAAAGACATTGATGATTAATTAAAAAAAATTATAAAGACAAACCTAACATTGACATTATTTAAGAGAAAGTAGATAAAAATATTTAATATAGTGTTTTTGGGATATATCAAAGCATTCTTTGAATGAGATATAAAGACTGCAATCATTTAGCTTGTGATTTGATTGGGGTGGGTATGTGAGAAAGTGAATTTGAGGTGAGTGTGGGGTTGTTTGGTTTAAGGGAAAAACAATAGATTTGAGTGCATTTATGGAAGACGATGTGGTTAATAGGAGTGAATATAAAAAAAAATTAGTTTAATGATCAAAATATCTTTGTTATTGTAATGGATAAATTAAGTAGAAATGATAATTATATTATAATTGAATATAAGAATATTAATTAATTTATACTGTACATAATATTTAAATATATTAATATTATTTTATATATCAAGTATAATTAAAATTATTTTATATATTAATTATAAAATAGTTTTCGTTGTATTTTACATTATATATTAAAATTTTTGATATTTTGAAAGAATATTTAACAATAAAATTTTATTACCTTGATAATAATGTATAAGTTGTTGTACATTTTTCTAATTTTTTATTTTACATTAGATACAATAATTAACTAATATTGAAATATAATATAACGTTGCTATGCAATAATATTAAATAAAATAACATTTTAATTTCTAAGAAACATTAATTATAGTCATCCAAAAAAAATAAAGGCAAATATAGTATAATCACCCAACAAGTAAAGACAATTATAGTACAGTCATTCAACATGATAGATGTGTCGGAGATATCCTATGACAATTAAGATGGGTTATCACCGCTCATATGTTTCAACAAGTAATTCAACCATAAGTGTAAAAATGATCTCCTTATGAATGGGGCTTCTACAAATAAACTTATAACACTAAGGTGATTGTCCAAAATATTAAGTTCGTATAAAATTTGTTATATATCATATGCAAAATAATATCTTTGTTTGTTGGGTCTTGCCGACGATGAAAACATAATTCAAATTCTTAAAATATTTTATCTATGTAAACAAAAATATTTTATTTTAATTAATTATATCATGTTATGAATAATAATAATAATAAAATTTTGATTAAAATTTATATTGTATTAATTTTGTATGTTCTAAATAAATAATAATACCTTAACTTAAAATTAATTTAATTATCAAAAAAATTATACCCTCCATTCATTAATTTTTAACCTGTAAACCTATATTCTCTTTTTACACAGCAACAAATTTTCTTATAAATATAATTTTAAGATTTTTGACACCGTAACAATTTTTTTTATACATATAAATAATAATCTAAATTCTATTTGTATTTACTATTAATTGTATAATTTAATTACTGATTAGAGAATAATTATTTTTATGGACGGTTGATTTAATTATTTAATTCTTCATCCAATTAACTTCTAAATTTTAGGTACGGTTAATTATACAGTACATTGAATTTTTTTTTTTTTAAACCAATTAATCTTATACTAACATTCATGCTTACCTAAATCTACATAACTAATTTTTCATACTTACCGCACAATTTTTTTTTTCATATTTAACTTAACATACATGCCTAAAATCAACAAATATTATCTCAAACATATTTTGGCAATTGTATCCCTAAATTAGTACGTGCGTCTCCATATTCGATTATCAACAATGGCATAATCGATTATGGTACTAACCATAATTGATTATGGTACCATACATAATTGATTATGCTACTACACATAGTCAATTATGCAGTAAACATAATCGATTATGCAGTTCATCATAATCAATTACGCTTTTTAGTTTGCATGTTTATCAATGACGTTTCAATGTAACCAATTCGTTAATGAACAAAATAATTCAACAACAAACGCATGACACAACGAAATTTACATGTTAAATAACTCAAAGGAACAACAAATTGCATAATAAGAACAACAAATAACTTACTTGATGAAGTTGTTGGACCCCTGCAAATGTCTTCTTCTTCGTCTTTAAAATTAGAAAATGGATGCTAAGAATGGAGGATGAATGAAAGTACAATATATGTCGCTTCTTCCAAATAATTGTAACAACAATAGATTGAGCCAACAACAAATGCATGGCACAAGCAAAATAACAAATTAAATCAGTAAAACGAACAACAAATTGTATTTAACTACGAATGACAAAATGCTCATTGGAGTGAGTGGACACGAAGGAGATTAAAACACGGACGCCACTACAAACAAAATTAGAAATGACTTATGGGAATGGAGGAAGAATAAAATCACAACCTTCACTTGCGGGAATGACTGTAATTATGGGTAAAGAAGACATGGTTCACGAGATGTTATTCAACTTATGAATAATGGGTAAAGAAGACATGGTTCACGAGATGTTATTCAACTTATGAATAATGCAGGTCCATTGTCGTGCATGATCATGTACAGTATCACGTTGCATACTGCAATTATTTTTCAGCATGTCTTAACACTTGGTCTAAGCTCATTATTTGTGCAGAGATTCTATAAGATGTATGTGCGGTTCTACAAAAACATAAGATAAAGAAAAAATAATATAGTCATTTTGTCTAAATTTTATATATTTTTTCTTATAATAGAGGAGAGATATGTTGAAACTTTCTTCCTCTCATTTTCTCAAATCAACAGATGCAAACAAAAGTAAACACCCTCAAGTTTCCTTCTTTATTTCCTTGGCAACAATACATGAATGCAAATAAGGCTTAAAGGTTAAATCTTTTCATTAAGAGTATCTCTCTCACCGTATGTTTAAGGAATAAAGTTATAAGAAACATCGTATTAATAAAATATTGAGGATATTAAGCAAAAAAATTAATGATTTTTACAGTGTTTATGATTGTAATAGTAGTGTTTGAATGCAAAATTTGTGGTAAGTGGGAGTTATTGGGCCCTGAAAAAGAAGGGTGAGAAATAGAAAATAAGGGTTGTGTGAAGAATTTGCTATAAAAGGGATGGACAGCATCATCCATGGTCGATTCCGCAATCGTAGAATTGACAGTTTGACACAGCATATATACTGATGATACCCTCATTATCATTACAAAACATTTTACATCAAACAATATTCAACACTCACTCATTACCAACACATTAATCCGTACTTTTTTTTTTTCTCAACTTGCACATAACAGGTGGGGTTGTGTTGTGTTGTACACTGTAACACTGCTATCTTAATGCGTGAAACATGGTGTGGTAAAGTTAAAAATACTTTTCTTTTTTTCATGAACTCATATAAACCAAGTGAACACTTAATTTAATGAAGTTGGTGTGTGGAGGAAATAGTAATAAATGAAAATAACAATTCGACTGTAATTCCCTGCAAATTTGGCAGTTTTGAAATCCACGTTCTTAAATTAGTTTGCGTGGAAAAGCGAGAGAGTGGTCCTAACTCCCAACTCCCACTTGGAACCCAAATCATTTGCATAACCAAATTGCATGGAAAGTAGTAGTAACAAGGAACATAATCTACCTTCTCTTTATTTTTAAACTTTACAAAATAAATAAACAAAACAAAATACCTCAACTGAGGAAGCATTCAGGTCTCAAAGGGGCACCCCAAAAAGCATCAAAATCTCATACTCTACTCTATATTTTAAAAATACATATAAAAAAAAACATGGGAATTAATATATGTTAAAACCACAACCACATATAAAAAACTAGGTCTAGAGAATTTCTTCTTCAACTCTCCTCCTTTTTTTTCTTGTCTCTACAAAGTCAAACCTACATATATAAGAAAAAATTGCACTGTACAAGATGTATAGAGAACCAAGGTTGAAAAAATTTCTCTTCACACTAGAGAAGCCAGAGCCCTCTTCAATTTCAATTCAACATCTCTCACATTCTCAAAGCCCTTATGTTGGCAAGTGCACCATCAAAATTAAGCATTGAAGGGCACCATAAAAAACTTCCTTTCTTTTTTGGTCCACTTTTGCGTATATGGATTGGAGGAGCACCACTCTTGATCCTATTAGCTGGTATAATATATAGCATTGTGCACATGTGTGATGGCACCACAAAAATCCCCCATCTCAATACTCAAACATTAAATCATCTTCTCTATAAATTTGACCAAAACCATGACATGAAACTCAAACATTAAGTGAGAGGGAGAAAGTGGTGCTGTGTTTTGCTTTCCAACATCTTTCAATGTCTTCTGCTATTCTCTTGGCATCCATTGATGTACCAAGAAGTCCTCGTTTGGTGAAACCAACTGCATACAGTCCATTCTCACCCTTCCATCCATTTGGAAATGGCTTGGTAGGGAACCCATCTTCCTTGGAGAACATATCCCCTTCCTGCATCCACATATGCCATTCCACTTTCATTATTCTCCTCATCTAAGTTATTAGTTACATGTTTGGATAATTTTTATACTCCCATTTTCAGAAAAAATAAACAAAATTTCTTCTATAAAAATTAAGTATATAAATATTTATTAAGCGTTTAAACTTAGATTATGTACCTTTGAATATTTATCATAGAAAATGAACACTTAAAGTGACTGAAAGAGAAGGAAAGGAAGTATTCATGCATAATTAATATACCTTAAGCCAATAGGGCACATTACTTTTGTAACCAGTGGCCAATATGATGGCATCAAAATTTTCTGTCCTTCCATCAACAAATTCAACTGTACAACGTTTTAACCGCTTCATGCCTGGTCGTACCTGCACCAAGCATTACATTGTGTTGGCATGGTGAGTGAGAGAGTGAGAAGTGGTAGTACTGCATGCAGTGTTCAAACAAAACAACACAACAATCTAATGAAAATAATTACGCTCCCCAACAACATGATTGAAATAATAATGATAATTCTTTTGTCCATTAGCTTTTGTAACATCTCTCACATTATAAAGCCTTGTGATTTGATTGAAAGCACACAACGATGGAAAATGTTGCCAATACAAAACCAAGGGCGGAAAAAACATATTCATAGGGGTCATTTCATTGAAATTTCAGAATTTAATTGAGAAAAAGAAAAGATTTTGATGGCTCGCAAATGCTAAGTGTTGTGCTTCACGAAAAGCAAATTAAAGGCGAAAGAAATCCAAGTTAAAAAGGAAAACCATGGATTGCGGTTATGGCGGCACCGAAATACGATCTTAAATATGTATATTATTACAAACTAACTTTCTTGTCATTATTTGAATTCTAATTGCTAAAGCAAAGAATGGTCGTTAATTTATACAACCTAGTCTCTATCAAAGTTACTGTTTCTGTTTCTTTGTCCTTAAAACTTTTGTCTACTCAAGTTGGTCTTTGATGTCATGAAATTATTCACAAACTTGTCTTGGAAATTAACTCGGTACTTTCTTTAAGGGGTAAATTTGTATGGACTTTTTTACATTTTATGAAAACTAATACTTCAGAAGTGCTGAAAATTAATTATTCATAAACATTTTAGAAAGTTGATGCTTTTAGAAGTTAGCTACCCCTTCCATGATTCATTTAGAAGTTAAAACAGCACAAGTTATTGCCATTTTGAAGTTAAATATCTTCAAGACTCCAAAACTTTAGGATTTGGCTACTGAAAACAAACTAAAATACCTCGTACATTAACTAAAATTAAACTAATTAATGAGCAGAAAATTGTTAATTTTCTTACTTGACATTGATGCACAGAAACTGAAGGGTTGGCAAAAGGAAAAGTTGAAATCGATTTGATAAAAAAGGGGAAGTACCTTTATATGCCCACTTTTGATCTTGGCAAGGGTACCCACATCAAGCACTGGTGTCTTTCCGGAGAGGTTTTTGAGTTGAAGGGGACCCAATTTTGGCCGGTCCAATCCGAACCGAGCCGTGTCACCAAGCATGAGCCATGACACTATCAGAAGAAACCGGTCCACAAACCGAATTGGAAGCCACTTGAGCAACCACATGGACAACCCAAAAGTTGATTTTCCCAGCATCTCTCGTGGTAAGATGTGTACCTTCAAACCCATAAACAAACAACAAAAAACCTCCATCATCATATGGATAACTTCCTACATGAATTCGGTCTATTGTACATGAATCCAGTGTATTGTAGTACTAATGGAAACAAGTACACAACATAGTGCAATACTTTCATTTTTTTCTAGAATAATGTTTTGGTGACACCCTATATATTGAGCTCCACCTTGGCAAAGAAATGACAATGTGTTAGATAATTTGTTATAACGACAAGGGATGAGTGTTTGTAGTGCTAGTTTCCATATATTATTACGGTTAATTTTTATATGTTAGAAACTGGGAAATAGATTAAATTAATGACCAAATATTATATTATTAAAGTAGTGTTGTTTTTTGTTCTTGTTAAAAATCATTAAATGGGTTACAAAGTGTTCTTGGTACACATTGTGAAAAATGGAACCAAGGAGTCATTAATGTATTCATGCATATTAGGGTAGTAAAGTTATATACAGATATTATAGAATAAAATATGAACTGTGTGAAGAGAGTATCTTGGTGTTTCCCCATCATAACAACTAAGAATTTTGAGAATTTTAGTATGTTGTGAAGGGATACAGCTTCACCCGAAAAGAGGAGTGGAAGAAAAAGGAGAAAAAAAGGTGGAAAGAAGCTGCTGTGGGAGGAGAACTTTAACCCTTGGTAGGCCTTAATTGTTTGCAGGCCATGGTCTCTAAATATGTAATGGGAAAAAGAGTATCTCTTTTGCTACGAAAATCATGGGAAGGAAAAAGGAGGGGGAAAAGCAACTGGGGTATGGAAAATCAGTGGCCATCTTATGCTTCTTCTATCCCACGCTTGAGAATCCCAAGAAAAGTTAAACCTCATCATTGTTATAATATTTAGGGGAGCTTTCAAAATGAAAAATATTACATATCATCTTTGATGATACTCAAAAAATAAGGTTCATTAGAAAAGCCAAATTTTGAAGGTGGTGAAGTTCAGTTGCGTGTGTGTTTTGCTTCACAGTATCACTTTCACCCTTTTTCTTTAATTTCTTAAAATTTCCGCGTTTCTGATGTAGTGACTAGTGACATGGGATTTCATGTAAGAACTTTGAACAGTACATATACCGTGTTTTTTGTAGCAGAAAGTCAAAATTCTTGGATGTGGCGGCAAAAAATAAAATGAAAAGAAAAACCCCATCTGGGTTTTACATGACAAGTAACCCATATTCCAAGGTTCCGCAAACCCGAAAAAAGAACTAGAATCTCAAAGAAGCAAAACCCTTGTTCATGTTAAATCAGTGATTCCCAAACGTGCAAACTTTTAATCAAAACCCACAACAAAAGACACAGTTTTTTAAATGTTTGTATATTATTATCTAAAGAGAATTAGAATTTCACTGTGTGAATCTATGTTAACAGTAAGTACAAATTTTTATTACATCAGAAATTCTAATTTTGGTTAGAAAAGATTACCGAGTTATTTCAAAGAAAGAGAAAAGGCATAATCGAGAAAAAGAGAGAGAAAGGGTGTTCTTACTGTATCTCTGACCACAAGAGAAGGAGTAGCATTATGGTTGCAAAGATCCAAGCACACTTCCATCCCTGAATTTCCACACCCAACCACCAATACTCTCTTCCCTCTAAACTCTTCCCCACTCTTATACAAACTTGTGTGCTTTATGGTCCCACCAAACTCCCCCATTCCCTCAATCTGAGGCACCACTGCCTCTGCATTCTCCCCAGTGGCCACAATCAGCCACCTGCACAAAAACTCTGTTGCCACCTCCCTCTTGTTCAAACTCCTCACCTTCCAAAACCCGAGAGTGGCATCAAACTCAGCATGCCTCACGGTCTCATTGAACCGTGGCCTAATGTCAAACCTCTCAGCATAGCTCTCCAAGTACTCTATGAACTGTTGCTTTGTGGGATATGTGGGGAAGTCACAAGGGAATCCCATCAAGGGGAGTTCGCAAAACTGCTTTGGCAAGTGGAGGTGAAGCCTGTCATAGGTCTTGAGTTGCCACAAAGATGCTATGCAGTTGGATCTCTCTAGGATTAGGCTTGGAACTCCTTTCTCTTTCAGGTATGCAGCTGTTGCAAGCCCTGAAGGCCCTGCTCCCACAATCACTGGCCCTGGCACCCACACACATCTCTCACTACTACTACTACTCCTACTACTACAACTTTGTGATGAATTCTTCATTTTCTCTATCAATAAAGGGTCATGTGCTTGCTTCCCCTCTAGTTCTCTCAAGCAATAGTCCATCCAAGAATGCAATGAAGAAGAGCAACAAGTTGGATTCTTTAAACGAATCGATCTCAGGACCTGGAGGAATTAGTATCTGACTCTCGGCCTAAAGACACCCGAAAACAAAGTGGATTTGATCCTATGTTTATGGGGGGGGAGGCAAGCTTAACCAAAACCAAAGCAGACAGTGAAAGCTCTATGGTGTTTCAGGATTTGGGATATGATTTGGTGCTGTGGAGAATTGGGATTGTGAACAAGTTCCTTGAATTTTGGAGAGGATTGAGAAGGGTCTTATCCACTGTTGTGCAAAATGGAAAAAATAAAATAAAAGAGAGAAAACAGAAAATGAAGAAAAACTGTGTTTCGTGTTGTTGAACGGAGGAGGGTTAAACAGAAGGATGAGCACCAACTACGGGGCAAAATCAGCATTCATCACCGAGAGAGAGTGAGAAGGATATCAGCATTCATCACAGAGAGAGACAGAGAAGGATGGTGATATCTCTCTTTGTATGTGTGTGAACATATATATATTCCTATTCTGCTTCGTTCAAGAATTTAAATGAGGCAAAGCAATTAAGCAAGTGGTAAAATGAGGAACAACAACACTAGTTGTGGGGACATCACATTATAATTAATATTATTACTATTTCTTAACTCTAAACTACATAATTAAGCAAGCATGAGAGTTATTTGATTTATGTTCGTCAATATTATGGAGGATTAGGGGTTTGAAATTGTGGGGGAGATATATGACCGAAAATTATTCCATTGAAGACTTGAGTTGGTTTAGAAATGAAAGAGTGAAAGATGCATCAGAATTACGAAGAGGTAAAATGAGGAGAAGAGAGAGCTGGTACGTGATCATTCGCAATGGACAATGTGGATCAGCTCAACACGGACCTGGTGGAGCATGAATTGTGTCCAAGATGTCATCCACATTAGTGGATATTTTTCAAATGCCTTTTAATAGTATTTCATTTACGCATTTTATTTTTTCATTTCATAATTATTTTTCTTATACATTGTATTTATTCCTTTTTATTAATCCCCTTCACCAACTTTAACTAACTAATTCAAGAAACCCATTAAAATTAAATTCTTCATTTTTAATTTTCTTTGTATTTTAATTTTGCTTTAATTTAGTATTGTGTGGCTCACTAGGATACTAGTAACTTATTTAATGACGTGATAATATAATTGGGACTATTTTTAATTTTCTGGCAATGATTCGTTGGAGCAAAACTTTAGCGTAGTGGTCAACCACTTGGCAACAAATAACTGTTGTTTCTTATGTGATGTGATTCGATTGTCAACATATAAAGCATAATTAATAAAGAAAGAGTAATACACTTTTTTTTTTTCTAAAAGAGCTTATGATGCTATTTTTAGTTTTAAAATTCATATTCCTCACTTCAAATGTGTTGTATTTAAATATGAAATGTGTTTTCATAAATATGATAAATAAATAATTGAAATAAAATTGTTCTTTCTTTGAACGATTCTGGTTTCATGTATGTGGTTTTGGAATTGAAATATTATATTTTAAATATCCATTTATTTTTCTTCAAATAAAATAACCTATTGTATTTTTTATTAATATTACAAGAAAAAATTGTTTTTAACAACTAAAGTTTTAGTCTCTAAATTTACAAAATTATTCACTAAGTCAATTAAGGACTAATTTATAATCTATTTGTAGTAAGCAGATAAAATTTTGATAGCTAATGTTGAACACTAATTTAGATTATTATATAAAAAATAATTTAGTGACTAGTTTTATATAAATTAATTTAATATAAAAACTAATTTAATGATAAATCAATTTATTAATTATATTATATAAAAATTAATTCAATTATCATATAACTTAGTTATATAAAGATAAACAATTATTCAAAATTAATCTTCACATAGAGAATATTTGTTAAATATTCTCTATTGCTTTATTACGTAATTAATTTTGCATATTTATAATACTATAATGAATTTAAACAATTTCATATATAAAACTGATAATGTGATATCCCATTATATAGACATTATTATTATAAAGGAAAACTAAATTACTAAATATGTATTATAAAATAAAATTTAAAATATTATAACAACAAAATTTATTTCAGTAATTCCTTGTTTAATATAAAGTTTGATATTTTTCTTTAAAAAATTTATTATTATAATTTTTTTTAGAAATTTATCTAAAAAAATATTACAAAATCAATAATTATTTTAAAATAGTGACTAATCTACATCCATTAATCTTTGATGATCATTGATTCATAATTATGATTTTAGTGACGTAATCAATGACTTATTAATGTGATTAAAACTAATAATCAAAAGTGTAACTGAAATAAGGATCAAAATTTTATATTAGTACCCAAAAATATTATTAAAATTATGACTTAATATATATTTTATATAGAAACCAGTTCAATGACCGTGTTGTATAGTAACTAATTCAGTGGTCATATATAGAAACTAATGCAATTATCATATTATATAGAGACTAAACTGGTGACTAAATATATAAATATAAAATAAAAATTGGTCATAGATTGGTTTTTAGTATTTATTATATATCAAATATTTTATACTTCTCTAATTACCTACTAAATATTGCATACTCATTATAATAAAATCAATTAAGAAAATTTTATATGTAAATTTTATAATCTTTCAAAAATGCTGTTATACATTATTTCAAAAGATGATAAAATAAGTCATTTCAATAATTCATTTTCTAATATATGGAATTTCACTATAACATTTTCTTAAATATTCCAAAATTTTCTCTAAACAATATATATATATATATATATATATATATATATATATATATTATAACACTATAAAAAATAATAAATAATGACCACGACTTCAGTCATTAAATAACTAAAATCATTCACTAATAAACAATAGTGACTAATCCGCATCTATTAATTTATAATAATTAATATGGATAATTTAGTGATAGAACTAAGGATATATTTTGTGACCAATTAAAAGTCTGTGTGCAATTGTCTCACTGAATAAATACTCAAAATTATTGAGAATTGAGGACCATAATTTTGAAATTATGACTAAATTAGCGATTAAAAAATTGAATAAAAGTAATTATCAAAATATGATCGAATTAGTGATAAAGCTACAATCAAAATAATGATTAAAATCAGTTAGTGACTGATTTTTAAATTAAAATCCTTCACTAAACATCTTTTAATTTCTTTAAAATATAAAGCTATAATATATATATATATATATATATATATATATTTATTGTAATTTATACATACGTTATTTTCTAGATTCAAATGGGTGTCTTTAACGATAAAATTGTGATAGACAAGAATTTCAAAATGAATAATACTTTGAACATAGAAATTGATATAGTAACGATGTTATTATATTGGACATGAGATCGAGACACTCTCGTTCCTAGACGCAGTATTGGTATTCATCATGAAGCCGGAGTAGAGTCTCAGTCTACTCATACATATCCCTTAGTCTTTGATTGAGGATTTATGTTTTGGTACACTCATGAATCTCATATCATTTAGGAGTCGAGGTCAAGGATAATTTATATATATCTTCCTATCAAAACCCATTGAGACGCTAATGATAAAATTGTGAGGGACGAGAGCTAATATAATAACTAATTTATTATTTTTTAACTCAAAATTCAATGTCAAATCAATCAACAAACTAATAAAAGTAATAATAGTGGAAATCAACAATTGACTACTTTGATCTATCTGTAATTTTTTTTTTTTACATTTTCATAATTTTCTAACAAGAATAAAAATAAGAAATAAAGAAATAAATAACAAATAAGTACATAACAATTAGATGAATAATATATTTGAATTAAATGAATATCTCTATAATGGAATGTTGCGTTGATTATAGATTTGGTTACTAATTTCACAAAATAATACACATATATAAAAGGTGGAAGAAGTTGTAAAATTAGAGTGAAAATAATACACATGTGTTAAAATGTTTAAAGGTATCTTTTATAATTTACCATCACCTTAAAACAAAATATGGAAGAAGAAAATAATAAGCATGCCAATACCATAACTGCCCTCAATTCTTTTTATAGGAATACCTCACTAAAATTTAACTTTATAGTTTTAACTGTTAAAATTTAATAATCATAACTTATTACATATAGTAATAATAAAAAATACATAAAAAGAAAAATAAAAATATATGAAATGTAACAAAAATACATTTAATGTTCATTAATTTTATTAGAATGTTTATATAGTTTTCTATTATTAATCTTTACAAAAACAATATCATCTCATACATTCATTTATATTTCCGTAATTATTTAAAGTGAAGTTTTAAAATAATTTTATTATTGAAAAGCTAAAAAAAAACTCCAACCATTAAAATAAACAAATATATTAAATCAAACATAAAAAAAAAGTATAATATTATGATAAATAGGATATATGATGATAAAGTAAGAAAAAATTCCACTTTCATCCTATATCCCATGTTAATATATTTAAGTAACTAAATCAAATGTATTGAAAATATTAATATAAATTATTTTATTAATATCAGATTAAATATTAAATCTTATACTTTGTTAACAAATTTTATACCAATTAGAAATATAAATACAATAATATCATAATATATATATATATAAGTCTAAATATAATAATATCATAAATATATAAAAGTGAGTATAATTCTCGTACAGAATCAATTCTATATCATTGAATTAGATATTTTATTATTTTTAGATGATAATAAAATTAACTTTAATTACGTTGTAACATTATTTATTAATAATTATAAAATAAACTATTCATTATCAGATAATATTAAATAACTCATTATCAATATACGGGTATAATAAAAAAATCCTTTTTTATATAAGATGTGATAGAAAAAATATTTTAAATAAGATAATAAAAAAAATTGTTTGATATAAAAAATGTGATTAAAATTTTCTAACCGTAACATTATAATATTACAATAAATACAACTATCACCCT